TTACTGAATAAATATTCAAATTAGATATTAGTCCAAGTTTCTTTTCACAATTAAGTTAGTCCTTATTTATATTATTTGGTCAATGACTAAATATTACTAGTTAACCTCTTTGTATTAATTTAGTACTTGATTTAGCTCAATTAGTCAAATTACTAATTAATTACTCATGAAAAACTTGCTAATTAATTAGTTATAAACTTTATGACTAAATTTATTACTTATGTGCCTTAATTTAGGTCTCTCTATTAAGTGTCAGGTCTTAAACAACTTCTACATGCTTATAAAACCCTTCATCAATGTACACTAGTTCAATTAACTTATATATATTAATTTAATCAAAGATCGAAATTTTTATTTACTTTATTCTAAGTTGTTAATATTCAATTCCTTTGTGTTGAGTTTTCTATTTAAATAAGCTACTATTTCTATATTCTAATCAATAAAAATTTGAAGTGTTACGATAAATATACCCGTATTAAAATGTAATAGGAGAAAATTGTCTTATTTACTCCTAGTTTAAGTTAGAGATCTAATTTTAATAAATTGTCCCCAATTTAGATAATTTTGTTTTAATGGGAGGGAGGAGAGAATTTTCTCAATGTTAATAACTTTAGTTTACATTTAAAATGTTAAAAAATGAAAAATAGTTTAGGTTAATTTTAATTCTTAAAGGAAAAAAAATTATAATACCAAATTGATATTTTTTTCATTGACCTGCTCTGATTTTTTATTTTATCGATATTTATTAAATTTTGACCCATTCTTTTCTATATTGATTTTATGATTTATTTAAATCAGTCATGTGATTGCCCGGCTATGAAAGCTAATAACTTAGGCCTATTTTATCATCTAAAAAAAAGTATCATCAGAAAAGATAATATATGAACATCTGGAAAGTAATTAAATATTTGATCATTAATTAATTAAGGAATACTGTGATGCCGAAGAAAACAATAACCATAATGATATTGACCATTATAATAAAGAGAAAGTTGGTGGCATGGGTTGGATCCAAAAAGAGAACAAGAGTAAGCAACTAAGCATTTGTGATGGGATTTAGCTGTATACCGCATTTTGTGACCAAAAATCAACGTGTGCCACAACATAGGTAGACACCAGATTCAATTCTCCATCATACATAACATTCATATTAAGCATTCTCTTTGCAACAAATATTGGTCCAAGAACGGATTCGCATCTTAAAAAGATGTACATTCAACCCATTTAAACTTTTGAAAAAGAAAACAAAAAATTTATGCATTCTCTGTCATCGTGTCATGTATGTGGCCTTCAATGTCAAGTGGGATTCGTGGCCTAGTGCCAGTTATCACCCTTTCGTCACAAAAGTGTGCCAAACAAGAACTTATAATTAGTTTTTCTTTTGTACTCCAATTTCCAAACGTTCGAATTTGAAATTCCTGTGTGAAGCACAAGTTAATTGACCAGATTCAAAGTACACACAACACAGCACACACCACACGCCAAATAAGTATTGGTCAAATCAAACATTTGGGTCACTTACTCCCTCACCCATTACCAAGTCTTCAAACTGGTCAACCATTCCAAACCCAACTACAATATCTCTTCCTTCAATATAAAGTCCCCACTTTCAAAGCCAAAACCCACAACCTTAAACACATTTTTCCCGACAACACTTGTTCATAATCACAAAAATGCAAGACAACCTTACCCTTCAGCAAAAAACCAAAGAAAGCTCAGGACTTTCACCAAAGATGGGTGATTTCAGTGATGGGCACCACAAAGGTGGCTACTTGGCGGTGGCCCCCCGGTCCAGACCGGCCTGCACGTGCTCGAACCGGCCCGGTTCGGTTCGTTGCGCCCATCACGGGTACGTGGTTCCTGGGAAGAAGAAGAAGCGCGTGGCGAGAAAAGAGATTCTGAGAAGAGCACTGATGCCACCAACAAAATGTTTAGGCCTTAGATGGTTGAATTTCAAACCAACACCAAGTAGACTCTCTAACATGTCCATGGCTTGATTTTTTTTATTTATTTTTTTTTAAATTTATATTTTTGGATGTTTGTACAATCGAGTTTGACAATCCAATGAAATTAGATTATTCTATATTCTTTATGAAAGTTCGGTCTTTTTGCAATTGGGTAGTCTAGTTTCAGATCCTAGTCTGTTGAAAGCTGAAAATTGGGTATATGCAAAAAAAAATTGGTGATGTTTGAGTTAGATAAAAGTATAAAACTCAAACGAATGATTTATGTGTGTGCTATTGCTTTGCTTTGGCTGAATCCCATCCCTGATAACAGTTGTTTGTTGTCTGTCCTATAATTATAGGAATCGGAAATATTCTTGTAATAAAGTTTTCACTTTTGCTTGTCCATTTTGTGTGGTAAATTCAGATGCTATGCAATTAGGTTGTATGGTGTATTCGTGACATACTTGTTCTGATCTGATGGAGAAGTTACACACGGCAGGGTATGTTTCTTTATTCCAGTTGTCTAGATCTGTCGAGGAATCAGATACTAATATTGTAATGTTGTTGTGCATAGAACAAAATCAGTAGTTAGCATCTGATTTTTTGAATTCTTAACGAAGGATTTTTTTTCTCTCTGTATTTTTAGCTTAATATTGTGATTTTTAAACAAAACTAAGGGTGAGGAAAGGATTAGAGATGATAATCTTTGGATTATTGGTGTCATCTTATATAAGTATACCTTAAAAAACAAGAAATTTATTGGTAGATAATATAAGATAGTAAGATTATTTTGAGTGTCTTCTAGAATCAATTAAGATGACCCCGAAATCATGGTCAAAAATTGAAGAAACTGTTTATGGTTTTGGCTTTCAACTTGATTTTGTAATTAGCTTTGGTAGAATTGAAAATTAGTTCAATAATACACATAATACTAATGCGTATCATCACTCTATTTTCACATCCAACAGGAAAAACAAAAAGTAGATTTGCATCGATTGAGTCTATTTGATGTGATTTTTATTGTTGATGTGGTTTTATGATGGTGTTTCAAACATGTTTGATAGATTCTATGCGGTCATGTTTGTCTGTAATTCCTGTAGTTAGGCAAATCCCTACCCATGGATGAATCCAATACCTCACATAATCTTTTTCGTTTTCAAAAAAAACATAAAAGTTAAAGTCTAGTCATAGACTTGAAGACCTTGTATTGTTTATTCCTCTTCCCTTATGTGCCCTTGAAATCTTGTACAATCGTGCTAAAGAGTAGCCAACAAATAAATCCATAAAATCCAAGAAGGAAAAAAAAAAAAAGAACATGGCAGTTGGCAGTTAGATGGAGACAAGAACCCAAGCAAACCAAATTCGTTGCCACAAGTGTCATTCCAAAGATGTGAACACAAGTACCAACATAAACACAATGCAAATTTGAATTGGTAATGTTTATGAAAAGAGTTATAATTGCCACCAATCTAGATATGTAATTGGCTTCTAATGTATGTGGTTTATCTAAGCCACCAAATATCCTGATTCCTGAAGAGTTGTAATTTGTTCACTATCTGAAGGTCTGTTTCTCTCTATTGCTGAAGTGGCTGCTAATGTATATTAGAAAGTTTGCTTTTGACTGGGTGAAGGTAATAATAAAAGTGGTTGCTTCTCACTCTTTTGAACCTGGTGGTTATAAGACGTGTCTCAAGAAATAGGAGGTTGCCCCGGTGTTTCTATGTTCGATTTTTGTCTGAATTAAAATAATGATTGGTCAGCAATAGTCACATCACAGGAGTTTAATTATCAGTTTTAAGATATTACGTGAATTATGTTTATTAAAAAAAATTGAAAATAGATTACTTGAGGAAACTTGAGCTTGTCATGTCTTGTGCCTAATATGTTCTTACAACCTCATTGCAAAACCATATATACATTTGGCGCCAAATTTACTGGTAGAAGAATGTGGACTTAACTTTTTATAATGACGTGGTTGTTATAAACAAAACATTGGATGATTAGTTAGAACGGTGAGAATTCGTTTAAATGCGTATTCCATAATACTGCACAACAACTCTGTCAATAACAGTGGTTCAACTTTGACCGGTTAACAGTTCACCTATTTCAATCCACCCTTCCATATTTTCAGTTTATGAAAGAAAGACTCTGGAAAAAAAAGTGAGAAATATGTTTAGTGAATGTTGATGACATATTATTTTGAATACGTTTGATATTTATTCAAATTATTGATATATTAAATTAGTCTTTAAAAGTATTAATACTAATTGATTTCATTTAAAATTATATTAATATTATTTTAGCATCTAAAATTATTAAATATGAATCATTTTAAGTTTTATTATTGTATTTTTAATTTTAAGAATTATAGTAAATATTCTCATTGTAATTCTTATCGCTGGCAATCCTTCTCCTTCTCATAGATGTAGTTTGATTCTCCCTGAAATTAGTAAATTCTATTTGGTAGACAATTCTTCTTAGAAAGATCCATATAGTATTGGTGTGTCTTCTTATTTTACCACTTTTTATATAACCATATAATAACTATTGTTTAGAAACTTCATATATTAAAATGAATATTTGATAAATTGAGAAACTATAATATCCAAAGTTTTAGTGTACCCAGTTTTAACCTTATTTTATTCTTATATCTACCCCCAATATATCCGTTCTTCAATTGCAAACTACTTATTATATTTGATCTCCATTGCCTTTATATTTTATTTTAAAAATATAGAGACACAACATACCTTTTTTCTTCTTCATTTTTATAATTTCATTACTCATGATTTTAGATATTGAATAATTGTATTACTCTTATTATAAATATTATTAAATGAAAACTCAAAGTTAGAAATGATTCTTTCATATACCCAAATAAAGAAATATACCAAAAAAAGAAGAAAAAAAAACTTCTTTCCATGCTAGTTGTAAAACATTTTTTTATCCAAAAAAATCGAACTTAATGTTATAAGAATTTTCAACCATTCACGTATCTTGTTCAATTAATTAATCTAAACTTTTTGATAATCGATGTCAAACATTAGTTTATGATTTTTATTAAAAAAAAATCTCTGCAGGAAAAGGTTTAACAAGGAAACGTTGATTTAACTTCAACAAGAGTACATCAACCAACAATACATTATTAAACAGATCAACCTAAAAAAAAAAAAAAAAAACTGCTGAACTAAACTAGTTACTTGCGTTGATTGGTTCACTTGGTTGTGGAATCATCAACAGGATGCCAGTATCTGTTGAAAAACCACACGGAATCAGCTGAAACAGCGTATTCATCTTCATTTCGGTGCCAACTATAGTGAGCATGTGTTCTGTTCTTTATTTCCAACATGGCATGCCCAAAACTGGCTTCCCTGTATGCAGAATACTCAGGTTGTGGTTCTGTCATTCTGCAGTGCAAAGAAAAAACACAAATCAGTGATCAAACTAAACCTGATACAGAATAAACAACTCACTGATACAAAGGAGAATTTTTTTATTGAACTTACTTCGTTGCTAACCCTTCAATGTTCCCTCCATCACCAATGGTTATGTACACAGGAGCTGACATATCCTTCACAGGTTTACATCGACCATTTATAAGGTTGTATGCAACATTGGAGACACGTTCCTGATATGGGGTGCATATAATTTTAGTTTCATCATAATCTATGTTAGAATACTTGTATGTTACCAATTTAAAATTATGTTCAATGAAAAAACACACTTAAGAAGCAAAAGCTTTTGAGTGTAACTTTTTTCAATCACAGTAAACTGGTTTTCAAACACACCTAGGTTGTTCTAAGTAGCACAATAAATAAAAAAATCAATTCAATGATAAAAAAAAATACTTCAATGTTCATATGAATATTGTTTTGTATTTTTAGCACTTACAGATCGTTCATAGGCATGGACGTGTCCAGCGAACACAAGATCAACCTTGTACTTGACAAACCAAGGCTCAAACGCCACCCTCATGCTGTCCCCTTCCATGTAATGATAGTTGTAGCTATTATACCATGGCGAATGCATGAGAACAATCAACCAAGGAGTTTTGGTTCTATCAACCTTTGGTAGCTCTGCCTTAATCCATTCATATTGGGGAGTATATTTACCTGAAAGGAAACTGATGTTAGAGCAAAATACATGTATAAGCAATTCAGCTTTTAGTGGATAATAGTTTTAAGCAAAACATGAAGATTAAAAGGTACTGTCAAGAACAATATTTGTTATCATGTCAAGAGAGAGAGATGCCATATAATGTTACCATAAGCTGAATATGAAGCCAAAACTATGATGTGTGCTGAAGCCATCTTGATAGAATACCAAAAGGGTTGAGTACTTCCTGATGCTTTGTAAGGGACTTGGTAACGGTGGCGGAAAGGCTTGAAAGGTTCTGGCTCATCCTAAAGCACATCATCAATTAATTTACTTAAGCACTAAACTTTGCATTTAGAACAAGGAGCATAACATGAGAGTCATAATTTGTCATAACATGAGAAATAACACTCACACACATAATGAAGTGAACAACTTACAATTTCAGGAGCATAGTCAATTTCATGGTTCCCTGTGGTCCATATCCAAGGTTGATAAGCAGTACTTCTTTCTACGAATCTACCCCACGTATCCCACCTTACATTATCATGATTAGGGTGATCATCTGCATAAGAGAGGTCTCCAACATACAACACAGCTTGCCCTTTCTTAGGGTTTGATTCGTAGTGAGTAAAGGTCTTGTTTGAGTCAAAAGTTTGACCCATATCCCCTGCAATGAGAGCCACATCATCTAAAATTAATTTTGGCATTCTTAATCCTTGGTGCCAATGGTACCTAATATCGATGTGTCTTTTATCCAATTTAGATCATTATCGAATATATTTTAGGATTTTAGAGATTTGTTTTTGTCAAAAATAAGTATTTTGATTTAATACTGTTTAATTAGTAGATTTTTAAAAAAAAAATTAGGTATTTTTCATTTCTTTTATTAGTTTTTGAATTAGAAGGAAGAAAGAAGGAGTTAAGGCTAATAAGAGGGAGAAGTTGAGCATCACAAGCTCACTTAAACCAATCAACTTGGTCGTTTAAGTGAGACAAAACCAAAAGTGCCGAACATAAGGAACTTTTGCTCAGAACAAAGGTGAAACATACCTAAAGCAACCCTATATTCATTCAAGTGAGAAGCTTAACCACTTAAGCTAGTAAGAGCAAAGATATCACTGGAACACTCATGAAATACTCGCTTAAGCGAATAAAATGGTCACTCTAAGCGAGTGGACATTGTAAGCTCACATAAAAATAAAAAAAAATCCATTTAAATTTTAAAATCTTATAGAAATAGGATTAGGAGAAAATTGAGAAACACTTCACATTTAGCTTATTTAAGAGTGATTAGAGAGACTGAGAATAAGAGTCTTTATAATTATGGATTCCTCAACGATCTCTTTTTAAATTTATAAGCAAATTCCTTAGTCATGAGGAGTTGAGACATGTAACTCTCCTATTTTTATTCAATTAAAAGTTTTTATTCAATTAATTGTTATTCTTTTTCTCTTAATATGTGTTTTAACTTGATTGTCATCTCATAATCCCATATAATTAATTGAGATAGAAAAAGCTTTTTAAAACTATGACCTGAAGAACAATACTAATAACATTTATTACCAAAAATAGGATAAGAATTATTAATCAACTTTTAGACCTTCAATCTTAATATAGATTTCTTAATCAACTTCACCAAAGAATTGAAATTTTTATTAAGAAATATAGAATTTCTTACCTAAAAAATTAGGATTAAAATATTTTTTATTATTTAATTAATTAAATAATTATTAAAATTGAATAATAATTGAAAAGGTTTCGTGTGAGGAATGTTTAGTGAAATCTCTTATTATAAATTTTTCATTGTCTTTTTAATCTGTTAGTTAATTCTTTAAATCCTAAAAATATTATTATTACTTTTTATGCATTTTCAAATAAATTTTTTTAATTAATATTAAATTAGATTATTTAGTTATTATATAAGTTCATATAAATTCGATATCTAAACTTCTATCTATTATTATTATTTGTAATAATTGGCACACTTACAAAAACTCTATTAATGTGTAAAAGATTTAGTGTAAAGCACCTAACATCAGAGTTTTCAAAGAATATAAACTTGCCTATGAGACCAAATGTAAAAGGCGCATCAGGGTGAACTTCGGGTGGGGTCGTGAACCAAAACTGCCTTCTAGTATGCCCAATTCCAACTTCATAATAATATTTTGTGTTAAACTGCCAAATGAAAAATTCACTTAATTAACATTCAAATTAATGTATGATAAAAAAATAATATAAAAAAAAAGTGCACGACACTAAGGTGCTGTGTTGTGTACTAAAAGCACCGAGTTTTGTCTTTAAAATATTTCATGACTAATTTGAGTCAATTCAATGAATAAATATTTATTTATTTTCCTTCCTGCATTAGAGAAGAAGCATAGCATGCAACCATTAATGATCTATTACCTCTAAATCGTTAAGTGTGCAGTGATGAATAAAAGCAGAAGAGTAATTGAAGAATCTATAGGTAACATGATTTCCCTTGGCCATTCTCTTGTGAGGGAAGTCCTCACTCCAGTAATGCACTAAACTCATTCCTGGTTCGTCCATAGTCACCCATGACACCATCATTGCCCTTCCCTCATGATCACCTTGTGTTATATGAACCTACAAAACAAAGATCAAAACATGTTTGTCATGTTTATATGAAGTAGGAACAATATTAGGAGTTACCACTTGTTTTTCTTTCTCCCTAACTACTAATTCATGATAATTAAACTCAAGAGAGCTAATTAACATAAGGGAAGGGAAGCAAATTAGAGGTACCTGCTGAGGGGCATTATAGCCAGAAGGGGCAACAAAAACATCGCTATGAAGTGGCATATCCTCAGACTTCTCAACCTTCCTAGTGAAACTGCTTGTCTTGCCTCCATTGCAAACCACAACCACATTCAAAACCAAGGCCACAACTATTGCTGCACCAGCCATGCATGTATGCATACTTGATTCCTAACCCTTCAAGAGATGTTCAAGTGTTCAACACTTTCTTCTTCTCATCAACTTATTTATAAGAGAATAATAAATTAATAACAAAGAGGGTGGCTAAGAGCCTAAGACTATATGACATGTGGCAAAGAGTTTCTAATCGCGCCAGTTTCTATTTGGTAAAACGGATTCCCGCCTTATCTGTTAGAAATAAGATTAGAGAAACTCTATTCGTACGTTAATGCATATCACAACACCGGAAAATTTGCACAGATACGAAGGATATACCAACTACAAGACTAGAGAGACTATTCATACGTCAATGCATATCACTTTACAAGTTTCTCAAATTTCTTGTGATATGATATACACATAATTTGTTGTTATCAATTTCTTAGGAGAATCCAATATATTAGGAATCCCAAATTTGCTGTTATTTTTGTTGGAGAGGGAAACGGAAGTGTGGTTACTTTTTTTTTAAAAAAAAAAAAAGAGAATCAAATATTGTTTGTGACAATTGTGGATATATATTTTTTTTATAAGAAATGCTAAGAAAATACTATTTAATGTATATGACTTTGAATTAATGGAATTCAAACATGTTCTATTAAAGATAAAATAAAAATAAAAATTAAATAATAAATATATGTTGATCTAATGTTATAATTAGTTCATTAAATTTAAGATCTTGATTTTGATAAAAAAAATATATATATATTATTTTTTCTAATTTTTTAAAATGAATTAAAATAAAATGATATAATGATTAATAAAATGTAGAGATAAAATAATTATATTGAAAGGAGTATTCTTTTATATATTAATATAAATATACTCTTTTTAATTAATCAAAATTTATTAAAATATAAAAGTTAATGATCATATATTATATCTTATTAAATGATTTTCTCATTTAATTTTGTGATTTTTAATAAATTCTAATTAATAAAAAGAGTCTTAAGAAAAGTGTTAGAGAGCATTGCTAGCACTCCTATATTTTTATTTTCTTTATTTTAAAGCTTTGCAAAAGAAAAAATTTGACATCAAGTTTTGCAAAATTTAAACATCAATTAACCTGACATTAAATGATAGAGATTATATCAAGTGATAAACCCGCTTAATTTCTTATTTGTTTCAATTCTTTCTTTCATCTCTTTTTTTTATTATTAATAAATTAGTATTTTAACATTACATTGCACTCGATAAATTTTATTTTATGTAACTAGAATTTGTATTTTTTTTAGGACAGCTATAATTTAGAATATATAAATATTTGTGAATATATAAATCATAACATAACTGAAATTCATAACTTACAATAAATAAATATTTATTATGATATAGAAATGTTTTTAATTATTGAAATTTTCTAAAATATTTAAAATTATTAATATTTTAAAAATAAAAATAACATTAAAAAAATATAAGAAGTTAACAAAAATATTTAAAAATACTTTCATCGAAGAAAATAATTAAAAACACTATCATAAAATAATGGTTTCCAAAACCACTTTCATTCAAAATAATTAATCTAATATATATATAATATGATTAAATTTTAATTTTTAAAATATTAATAATTTAAAAAAAAACACTTTATATCACGATGTAATTTTTTTTATCGTAAATCTACGATGTAATTTTTGTTTAAAAATATTTATTTCTTATAAATTTTAAATATAATATAATTAAAAGTATTTATTTGTTATAAATTTTAATTATATAAAATAAATATTTATCATTTGTATACACAAGTTAAAATATTAGTATGTTATAAATTTCTATGAATATGAATTCGTTTAATTTTAGTCTTTAATTTTTTATTTATTCCTTAAATTTTAAAACTTTTAAAAATCATTCTTATTTATATTTGTACTTTTTAAATCAAGTCAAGGTCGAGTTCGAACTTTAACACGATTTATATTAAGCCAAAGTCAAATTTGAACCTTGGCATGATTTTGAAACTTCAATCATGTTCTAAGCATGTGTAACGGAAATAAAAAGATCTACTTTATACTAAAATCACACATGATAATTAATAGGATATTTATGAAAGCAAATAAAGTTTATCCCCACGTGTATCCACACTGAGACTAATCTTTGCTTGTCAACCTCTTGACTGAGCAATTTTCAGCACAGGATATAAGAGAGAAAAGAACTAATTTTCTTATGGTTTCTCTGTGTATATTTCTCCACAGTGGAGCTGTATATTTATAAATATGTAAACATATCTATTCACTTAGCAATAGCTTCCATATTCTATCTTCTAAAAAATAGGAATTATCAAATATCTAAAAGAAATTAGTTTTTATCTTTTCTTATCAAAACCACTTTTGACTAGGTCAAAATTTAAATTGAATCTTTCAATTTGAAATTGAAAAACTGACGTGCTTTTCTATCTTAATAGAAACAAATACTATTTATATTTTGATGCTAGTCAAAAAAATAAATAAATAATATTTTATTTATAAGAAAAATAATTATTTGATAAAATCAAATTCTTTAATTTAATTATCAAATAATAAATTTTCTTGAGCAAAGATTAGAACACTCGTTAGTGTGTGACCCTGTAGGTTCAAAACTAAACCGGTAGTAAATTAACTACATTAATTTACTAATCAAGGTTGGCGTCTAGCAACACTCCTTAACGTCCGGATAGTATGAAATAATATTTTCAAGAACCTTTAGAAGATTAACATAAAATTTCCTTCCATCATTTTACAGCTCTAAATTAACTTTAGAATATGGTTTAATTGTCAAATTCTAATCAGTTAACATATAATGAAAAATACAAGAAAAACCCCTTTTTCTTTATTATTTCAATTGCCTTGGCCAAGGTCCTTATTTTCATTATAAAGCTCAAACTCATTACCAAGAGTCGATGGATCCCTTCTTGATTAATCATTTAATTCTACAAGAATTTAATTACACCCAATAATCATTCAACTAACACCTTTAGGTATTAGGTGTCCGAAATCAAAGTATAATAAATATCTTGTTAATTATTATGATAATCTCAAGTCTAAGGAAATTATATATTTCTTCTTAAGAATTTTCTATTGACAAAATTTTAAGGTAATACATAACCATTAGGAATTCTCCTTTATAGAGTCTGTTCAATAGTCATATCCCTATATGCACTATTTATATGAGTAATTTAATAAATGAGATCTATTAATCTCTATCCAATAAAGACTATTACACATATATTGATCTATGTGGATTAATGATGTCCTATCCTCGATAATCCTACGATCAAGAACAATTTAGATTAAAATTAAAAAAGACTTGTTTTTCTCATTATTATAATCTCTATTATAAAAAAAAAAAAAAGTCTTTAATTTTAATCAAGGACTTTATCATATTAATTATTTCTCATAATCAATAAATATGAAAATAAAGTACAATCTTATTAATGCATATAAGATAGATTGGATCTTGGGCATTCATCTTATTCCCAACAAATTTATATTAAGTCAAGGTCGAATTCGAACCTTGACACGATTTATAATAAGCCAAGATCGAGTTCGAACCTTGGCATGGTTTATATTAAGCCAAGGTCGAACTCGAACCTTGGCACGATTTATATTAAGCCAAGGTCGAATTCGAACCTTGACACGATTTATGTTAAGCCAAGGTCGAGTTCGAACCTTGACACGATTTATATTAAGCCAAGATCGAATTCGAACCTTGGCACAATTCATATTAAATCAAGGTCGAATTTGAACCTTTGCGCAAATTATATTAAGGGTCAAGTTTGAACCTTAAGGCCAAGCATGAGCCCTAACGCGAAAACTAAACGTCAAGTTAGAAACTCAAAAGTTTAAATCATAAGTTCGCTTTCAAGCAGCAGCGCGAAAAGCAATATATATATATATATATATATATATATAGCAAATTCATTCAAAAAGTAATGAGTTCAACACAATGCTAAAAGCAAGTAAAATAAACTAAGTTATTACATAGCCTACGAGCAACAACCAGAAAAGTCTATGCAGCGGTGTTCTCGCTAGAGCTTTCAGATAGATCATCCTCATTCACCAATTGCCCATCTCGCACATCTTTATCAATGTGCATCAGCGAGAAGTCCACCTCGGGAGCAATTAATCGGGCCTGGCGATCCGCCTTAGCAAATCCCCTCTTATGCTCAACTATCACGGCGCGCTTGGTCTCACGAAGCGTCTTCTCCACTTCCTTCTTTGAGAAAGCCAGCGCCTCAAGGTCCAACTTCAAGGCACTAACCTCCTCGCCCTTGCCAACAAGAAGGACCTCATCGCAGAGATGTTTCTCCTCAACCGCCTGCAATTTGGCCTTCAAGGCAGCGTTCTCCTCCCCAAGCAGTCGCACTCGACCTAGGGCAACCTCAGCCTCGCCCTTGGCCGACTTGACGACACCCACCAACTCGCCAACTTGGGCAGCATATAAGCCTCGTTTGCCTTCATAGCTACCTCCAACGACTTCTGGGTCTTGGATAAATCCCTCCTCAAAGCCGGAAGCTCGGCAACCCCTTTTCGCGCTTTCTCTAGCTCGGCCTCATACTTCTGCCAACGCTGCCTCCAGTGATCCACGATGGCGATAGACCTGTACATGAAGACCTTCGCCGAGTCTAGGCCCTCCACCGACCCTACCTTCTCTATCATGTCCTTGTCGGCCACGAATGTTGGGTTCTCCTTATAGACCCTCTCGGCGGTAAGATTGGCATTCCACAGCGATGTCACATCAGGTGACATGCTAACGTGGTCCAACCTCGCCAAGGGTCGACTGACGTCGAAGCACTGGACGATGCACCTAGACTTCGAAGTCGAGGAGGCGCCAAGATTAGCTGAGGTCATGGTCAGCGGAGTCGACGTCGGAATGGCGGACAACTTCGTATCTTCCTCTCCAACCCCATTTGAGGTCGACGTCGGAACCACCTACAACAATCACATACATTTCAATATTTTTTCTAAGTTACACACTATACGTATAAACAAACAAAAACACAAGATAGGTACCTGTTAGATCGGGGTAGCCTCTATCACGGGCTCCTTCACAAGT